CTACCCAGGCGGGTCTCGAACTCGCAGGCTCAGGCAATCCACTCACCTCAGCCTCCCAAGTCGTGGGATTACAGGCTGAGCCACCGAGCCCAGCTCAAAGTGTCTTCTTTAAATTCTTTTTTTTTGAGTCAGATTCTCACTCTGTGGCCCAGGCTGGAGGGCAGTGTCACGCTCCCGGCCACCGCAGCCTCGACCTGCTGGGCTCCGGCGATCCTTCCGCCTCAGCCTTCCAAGTAGCTGGGACTACAAGCAGGCCCCACCATGCCTGGCTCATTTTTTGATGTATTGTAGAGACGAGGTCTCGCCAAGTTGCCCAGGCTGGTCTCAAACCCATGAGCTCAGGCAATCCTCTCACCTCGGCCTCCCAAAGTGCTGGGATTATAGGCGTGAGCCACCACGCCTGGCCTAAATTCTTTTTTTTTATAAATCACTGATTGAAGACTGCACAAATCTTTAAATTCTTTGCTCACAGCGGGCTGTGAATCTGTCTCCCTCACAGGAGGCTGGCCTCCTGCACCAGCCCCTGCCGTGTTCCCGGGATCTCTTTGCTCAGCTTACTCGAAAGAAGCTCCCGCAGGGAACCGCAGAAAAATTGCAGCGCGAAAACCCACCTGACTTTAAGTCTCTTTCTGCCAGGGGCGCGTGGCGGCTTCCTGCAGTAAAACAGAGAGGGTGGAGGCTCAGGGAGCGCGTGGTGACGTTCTCTGACGACACCCTGCTGGGGACGCTCGTGTAATCAAGCCTGAAGCATGAGGGCTCCCCCGAGGAAGAGGAAATCGAGTTAAATGTCCTGCTTCCCCGTGTCACCAGCCACATGGTACTCATGGCCACCATATTGGACAGTCCAGACGTGGGACATTCCCGCAGAGGGTCCTAAGACCCTAGGGCAGAGGGTCCTAAGACCCCCAGCTGGCATGTCGGGTCGGGGACAGGGAACAGTGTGTCCTGCACAACAAGGTGACAAATGCTTTGTGTGTGTGTGTGTGTGTGTGTGTGTGTGTGTTTTGAGTCGGAGTCTCACTCCGTCACTCAAGTTGGACTGCAGGGGCCACTCCAGGCCACCGCAGCCTCGACCTGCTGGGCTCCGGCAATCCTCCTGCCTCAGCCTTCCAAGTAGCCGGAACTACAGGTGTGCGCCACCACACCCGGCTAAGGTTTGGATTTATTGTAGAAACAGGTCTCGCCAAGCTGCCCCGGGCGGGTCTCGAACCCACAGGCTCAGGCCATCCACTCGCCTCGGCTTTCCAAAGTGCTGGGATGACAGGCTGAGCCACTGAGCCCGGTCACAACAAATCCTTTTATTCATTTATTTATTTTGGTCAGAGTCTCACTCTGTGGGCCAGGCTGGAGTGCAGTGGCGCAATCACGGCTCACCACAGCCTCGACCTCCTGGGCTCAGGTGATCCTCCCGCCTCAGCCTCCCGAGTAACTGGGACTCCAGGCGCCACCGCGCCCGGCTAATTTTTCTATTTTTTGTAGAGACGGGGTCTCGCTATGTTGCCCAGGCTGGTCTCAAACTCCTGGCCTCAGGTGATCCTCCCTCCTCGGCCTCTCGAGTAGCTGGGACTCCAGGCACCACCACACCCGGGTGATTTTTTTATTTTTTGTAGAGACGGGGGTGTCGCTCTGCCGCCCAGGGTGGTGCCAACCTCCCGGCCTCAAGCGACGCTCCCCCCTCAGTCACCCAAAGCACTGGGACGGCAGGCGTGAGCCACCGCGCCCGGCCGACCGCCGAACGCAGGAGGTGTCTTGCAATGGCTCCCATTCCGGGCAGCCCCCTGCCGGCGTTTCAGCCTCCCTGGCGGCTCACCTGTGAGCTCGGCCGACACGATGGTGCCGTAGGGAGCCACGGGGAGGCCACGTCCCTGCAGCTTTGCCCGGAGGCCCTGTTGCAGGAGCGCCTCTTCCAGGCCGGGACTCAGCGTCTGGAAGGTTCGCCGCAGGAAGCGCAGCTGGAAATGCACGAGGACGCTGGCGTTCCCGGCCCTGTAGGGGGGCAGAGCATTGGCGGGGGAGGGGCTCCTCCCTGCCGGAACCTTCTGGAGCCTTCCAGAATCCTCCAGACTCTCTCGGTGCCTACAAAGCCTCCCGCCCCAATGTGGGTCCCGACTCACCCGTAGTTCAGCACCGCGCAGCCCAGGCAGCTGGCCTCCAGCTCTGTCTTCTGGAAGCTACTCACAAACTACAAGGGAAACGAACCCGCCAGTGCCACGGCCCACGGCCCACGGGCCCTGCCAGGTGGAGCCGGCCCGCCCTCCGCAGCACCCCCAGAGAGGGGGCCCGCCCCATGGAAAAGCGCCTCCCTGTAAGCCCAAGACACGCAGCCGGTCCACGGAGTCACGTGGGCCAACGGATGGGGCGTTCGGAAGTTATTCACGTTGAAACATGGCCCGTGGACGGGGGTGGCTGGACCACGGGGGCGTGTCCCTACGACCGAATTTCGTCAGACGCACAAGGAGTGAATTCCGTTCCAGGCGTGGATGCCAAGGACGGGAGAGACACCCGCACGCCTGTGTCCACGCGGCCAAGGGCGGAGACGGCCCCAGGGCCATCAGGAGAGGATGGAGCCACACGGCGTGGCCTGTCCACATGGGGACCCAACTCGGCCACGGACAGGAAGGAGGCTCTGACCCAGGCCCTGGCGTGAAGGGACCTGGAGGACGTCACGCTTCATGAGACTCAGACGAAGAAGGACACCCAGGGTGGGCCTCTGTTTAAGTGAAATGACCCGAATAGGCCAGGCCACGGAGACGGGATGTGGATTCGTGGGTGCCAGGGCTGGGAGCAGGGGACAAGGAGTGACAGGGATGGAAGTGGGCTTCTCTTTGGGGTGACAGAATGTTCTAGAACTAGAGAGAGGTCATGGTGGCACCACGTTGTCCACGTGCTAAATGCCATTGAATTGTACACTTTATTGGGTTTTTTTTTTTTTTGAGTTGGAGTCTCACTCGGTCGCCCAGACTGGAGTGCAGTGGCCGCTCCCGGCCACCGCAGCCTCGACCCGATGGGCTCCGGCGATCCTTTTGCCTCAGCCTTCCGAGCAGCCGGAACTACAGGCGCGCGCTACCATGCCCAGCTCATTTTTGATTTATTGTAGAGACGAGGTCTTGCCAAGTTGCCCAGGTGGGTCTCGAACCCGCAGGCTCAGGCAAGCCACTCACCTCGGCCTCTCAAGGCGCGGGATTACAGGCTGAGCCACCGAGCCTGGCTAAACCTCCCTTTTTAAAGTGTTCAATTCCGTGGATTCTTTTCATATATTCACAGAATTGAGCAAACCTCGCCACCATCAATGCCAGAACTTCCCATCACCCCCAAAGGGAGACCCGTCCCCACCCGCTGTCACTCACCACCCCCCCTCCCCAGTCCCCAGCCCCCATGGATCCACATCCTCTCTCCGTGGACTGGCCTGTCCTGGACATTTCATGTCAACGGAGTCACACCCTGTGTCCTTCCATGTCTGGATTCGGCAGAGCATGAGGTCCTCAAGGTCCCTCTATGCTGTGGCCTGTGTGGCCTCCTTCCTGTTCGTGGCCGGGTCATGTCCACGTGTGGACGGGTCATGCTGTGTGTCCATCCCCCCCTTGGTGGACACGGGCTGTCTCCCTCTTTGGGCTGTCATGCCGGATGGTGCTGCGAACACGCGTGTGCGTGTTTCTGTGTGGACACAGGTGTCCAGGTCTCTCAGGCAGACCCCCAAGAGTGGAACTGGGGGGCTCCCATGAGACTAGATCTGACCCCCAAGAGCCACCAGCCTGTTTCTCACAGCAGCTGTGGGTTTCCCGTTCCCACCAGCCAGGCAGGAGCCACTAGAACAAAACGTAAAACCCCTGAACGTGGCCGACACGTCCCACGAGGGTCAGTCCCCACCGGACACAGCCCTCCCGTGCACGCACCAGCCCCGGCCGCCTGGCTTCTCCTGCGCATCGCGCAGGCCCAGCCTCCTCTGGGACAGCCTCCACCCCGGCCTCCCTGCCTCCAGCTGGGGAAGCAGCCCTAGGCCAAAGCCACGTGGCCACCCGCCTTGCCTCCCACACGTGGGCTGTCCTCACCAGCACCTCCAGGGCCGCCGTCAGCGTGCGGTAATAATCCGAGGCCTCCTGCCGCAGGCTGCCCGCCCAGCGGATCCCCCGCAGCTCGGCCGTGTGGGCCACGTGGACGCCCTGCGCGGAGAGGAGGGCTGGGCGGGACCAGGGCCCGTGAGCGCGCCCACCGGGCGGCCCAGGGCTCAGCCGCGCAGACCCCGTCGCCTGCACCCGCTCCCGCACCGCTGTCCTCAGGCGCCGTGGCCAGGGCTGCCCTCCACCCCCAGGAGCGTCCCGGTCTCGGGATGGACTCTGCGGTCACCCACCCAAAGGTCCCCGGTAGAGCACAGTGCCGTATAGAGCCAACGCCTGGGCCAGGCGTGGTGGCTCACACCTGTCATCGCAGCACTTTGGGAGGCCGAGGTGGGAGGATGGCTTGAGGCCGGGAGTTCAAGACCAGTCTGGGCAACAGAGCAAGACCTCGTCTAAACAAAAAGGTGGAAAAACTAGCCTGGTGTGGCAGCACCTGTTGTCCCAGCTACTCGGGAGGCTGAGGCGGGAGGGTTGCCTGAGCCCAGGAATTGGAGGCTGCAGTGAGCTGTGATTGTGCCACTGTACTCCTGCCTGGGTGACAGAGTGAGACCCGTCTCTTAAAAAAAACTTTTTTAGCCGGGCTCGGTGGCTCAGCCTGTCATCCCGCGCCTCTGGGAGACCGAGGTGAGTGGATGGCCTGAGCCCACGGGTTCGAGACCCGCCTGGGCAGCGAGACCTCATCTTTACCATAAATCAAAAAGTCAGCCGGGCGTGGTAGCGCGCGCCTGTAGTTCCGGCTACTCGGAAGGCGAAGGTGGAAGGATGGCCGGAGCCCAGCAGGTCGAGGCTGCGGGGGCCGGGAGCGGCTACTGCACTCCGGTCTGGGCGACAGAGTGAGACTCCAACTCAAAAAAACCCCCAAAAAAACAGGAAGGTAAAAATGCTACCATGGAAACCCTAGACTCTCCCTCCTTTCAAAACCCTGCTGGTCAGATTCCATGGTGGACCACGAGAACCCGACCTGTTCGGCTCTGACCCACCATGAAACTGCCACCCCACCCACCCTCTCCCACCTCTGAGTCTTGGCTCAGAGCGCCCCACCTAGCATACCCTCCTCGAGCCTCTCCCAGAAGCAAGCCTGACTTTTCTCAAGGTCTGGCCAAGCCTGGCTTTCCCTGGCGGCTTGGCCCGTGCTGCAGCGACCAGGCCTGCTGACCTGGGCCACAGAATCCAGCCCAAGGGCGGCCCAGACACAGCCAGGGCCAGCGCTCAACGGCCCCACCTGAGCCCACACCGTGACAGACACTGTGCCCGGCCACATCCCTCCCCGACCTCCAAGGAGCCCAGACACAGCCTCGCACCCCCTTGGCCCAGCACCCCTAGCAGTCAGTTCCTTTTCATCAGAGACGGCGTGAGACCTGAAACCACCCGTGGGGCCCGCCTTTGGCACTGTCTGGTTGTTTCGTGTGTCATCCAGGGGGACCCTAAAAGACAGGCTCGCTCTCCCTTTCGAGATCCCCTTCCCCACTGAGCCACGTGTGGTATGGGGAAAGAACACGGGGGCAGAAGGGTTTTCCCCGTGCTCGCCAGTGACCGTGTGACCTCGAACAATGGCCTCTCTGGCGTCCATTCTCTCATCTGTGAAATGGGATGCCAACCCCACCACCTACCTTAGTGGACTCTCGGGAGGGAGGGGAGGGAAAAGCATTCACATCGGGGTCTCCGTGCCCATCGGGGTCTACATGCTCAATGCCAGATTCCTCCAACGCCCCCTCCCCATCCCCTGCACCGGCCCCAGGTGGAAAGGAGCCCCCTCCCCTCACCCCCCCAGGAAAGACCACCATACCTGGTGCCTGCCACCGCTCCGTCGTTCTTCCCAAGGGGCTCGTCCAGCTCCACGCCACACCACTCGCCCTTGGCAAAGTCTGTCTCCCCCACGTACCGCACCACACCAGTCTTCGTCCCGCCCACCTGTCGGCACACAGAGAGACTCGGGTCCAGAGGACGCCACGGGCACGGGCAGAGAAGGCATGGGTACGCAGCCCAGGCTCAACCCATTCCTCCCGTTCAGCACGCAAGGGAGTCGGGCAGTTGGGAGGGATACACGTGAACCACTGCCTCCTAGGGCCACGCCATGCAAGAACACAGGCTCTGGAGACAGACACACAGAGCTGCCTTCAAACTCTGCCACTGACAAGCTGTGTGAGCTTAAGCAAGTTACCTAAGCTCTCTGAGCTTCAGCATTGCCATCTGTAAAAATGGCTTTTGTGAGAAGTACTATATGGACAATGTATGGTACCTAATAGAGCCTCATGTTACCCTTAAAAAGGATTTTTTTTTTTTTTTTGAGTTGAAGTCTCACTCTGTCACCCACACTGGAGTG